TATACATAGTGTGTGCTGTCCTATACACACTATGTAACTTCCTAATTATACATAGTGTGTGCTGTCCTATACACAGTATGTAACTTCCCAATTATACATAGTGTGTGCTGTCCTATACACAGTATGTAACTTCCTAATTATACATAGTGTGTGCTGTCCTATACACACTATGTAACTTCCTAATTATACATAGTGTGTGCTGTCCTATACACAGTATGTTATGTCCCAATTATACATAGTGTGTGCTGTCCTATACAAAGTATGTAACCTCCCAATTATACATAGTGTGTGCTGTCCTAAACACAGTATGTAACGTCCCAATCATACATAGTGTGTGCTGTCCTATACACACTATGTAACTTCCTAATTATACATAGTTTGTGCTGTCCTATACACACTATGTAACTTCCTAATTATACATATTTTGTGCTGTCCTATACACACTATGTAACTTCCTAATTATACATAGTGTGTGCTGTCCTATACACACTATGCAACTTCCTAATTATACATAGTTTGTGCTGTCCTATACACACTATGTAACTTCCTAATTATACATAGTGTTTGATGTCCTATACACAGTATATAACTTCTTTATTATACACAGTATGTAACTTCCTAATTATACATAGTATGTAACTTCAGTATGTAACTTCCCAAATATACATAGTGTGTGCTGTCCTATACACAGTATGTAACGTCCTTATTATACATAGTGTGTGCTGTCCTATACACAGTATGTAACGTCCCAATTATACATGGTGTGTGCTGTCCTATAAACAGTATATAACTTCTTTATTATACACAGTATGTAACTTCCTAATTATACATAGTATGTTACTTCAGTATGTAACTTCCCAAATATACATAGTGTGTGCTGTCCTATACACAGTATGTAACATCCTTATTATACATAGTGTGTGCTGTCCTATACACAGTATATAACTTCTTTATTATACACAGTATGTAACTTCCCAATTATACATAGTGTGTGCTGTCCTATACACAGTATGTAACTTCCTAATTATACATAGTGTGTGCCGTCCTATACACACTATGTAACTTCCTAATTATACATAGTGTGTGCTGTCCTATACACACTATGTAACTTCCCAATTATACATAGTGTGTGCTGTCCTAAACACAGTATGTGACGTCCCAATTATACATAGTGTGTGCTGTCCTATACAAAGTATGTAACCTCCCAATTATACATAGTGTGTGCTGTTCTAAACACAGTATGTGACGTCCCAATTATACATAGTTTGTGCTGTCCTATACACACTATGTAACTTCCTAATTATACATAGTTTGTGCTGTCCTATACACACTATGTAACTTCCTAATTATACATAGTGTGTGCTGTCCTATACACACTATGTAACTTCCTAAGTATACATAGTGTGTGCTGTCCTATACATAGTATGTAACGTCCTTATTATACATAGTGTGTGCTGTCCTATACACAGTATGTAACGTCCCAATTATACATAGTGTGTGCTGTCCTATATACAGTATATAACTTCTTTATTATACACAGTATGTAACTTCCTAATTATACATAGTATGTAACTTCAGTATGTAACTTCCCAAATATACATAGTGTGTGCTGTCCTATACACAGTATGTAATGTCCTTATTATACATAGTGTGTGCTGTCCTATACACAGTATGTAACTTCCCAATTATACATAGTGTGTGCTGTCCTATACACAGTATGTAACTTCCTAATTATACATAGTGTGTGCTGTCCTATACACAGTATGTAACTTCCTAATTATACATAGTGTGTGCTGTCCTATAGACACTATGTAACTTCCCAATTATACATAGTGTGTGCTGTCCTAAACACAGTATGTGACGTCCCAATTATACATAGTGTGTGCTCTCCTATACAAAGTATGTAACCTCCCAATTATACATAGTGTGTGCTGTCCTATACACAGTATGTAACGTCCCAATTATACATAGTGTGTGCTGTCCTATACACACTATGTAACTTCCTAATTATACATAGTTTGTGCTGTCCTATACACACTATGTAACTTCCTAATTATACATAGTTTGTGCTGTCCTATACACACTATGTAACTTCCTAATTATACATAGTGTGTGCTGTCCTATACAAAGTATATAACTTCTTAATTATACATAGTTTGTGCTGTCCTATACACACTATGTAACTTCCTAATTATACATAGTGTGTGCTGTCCTATACACACTATGTAACTTCCTAAGTATACATAGTGTTTGCTGTCCTATACACACTAGGTAACTTCCTTATTATACAAGACCGCCTCCGTGGTCTTGTGGTAGAGCGTCCGCCCGGAGAGCGGAAGGTCCAGGGTTCGATCCCGGGCCGCGTCATACAAAAAGACGTTAAAAGATTGTACTTGTTGTTACCCTGTCTGGCGCTCGGCATTACGGGGCTAAAACAAGGACTGGTCGGCTCGGAGTCAGTATACTGTGTCTGAGTGGGGTATTCATGTGAAACTGCGGCATGGTATCTCAGTGAGCTAGCACTATAAATCGGCATCAGTCCGGACTAGTACAAGCAGCCACACACACACATACACGTGCATGCACGTCGCTATATAAGTGCAATAATCTTGGACGCGACGTTAAACCCAATTTCACCTCACCTTATTATACATAGTGTGTGCTGTCCTATACAAAGTATATAACTTCTTAATAATACATAGTGTGTGCTGTCCTATACACAGTATGTAACGTCCTTATTATACATAGTGTGTGCTGTCCTATACACAGTATGTAACCTCCCAATTATACATAGTGTGTGCTGTCCTAAACACAGTATGTAACGTCCCAATTATACATAGTGTGTGCTGTCCTATACACACTATGTAACTTCCTAATTATACATAGTGTGTGCTGTCCTATACAAAGTCTGTAACCTCCCAATTATACATAATGTGTGCTGTCCTATACAAAGTATATAGTTTCCCAATTATACACAGTGTGTTCTGTCCTATACACACTATGTAACTTCCTAATTATACATAATGTGTGCTGTCCTATACACAGTATGTAACTTCCTAATTATACATAGTGTGTGCTGTCCTATACACACTATGTAACTTCCTAATTATACATAGTGTGTGCTGTCCTATACAAAGTATATAACTTCCTAATTATACATAGTGTGTGCTGTCCTATACAAAGTATGTAACCTCCCAATTATACATAGTGTGTGCTGTCCTATACAAAGTATATAACTTCTTAATTATACATAGTTTGTGCTGTCCTATACACACTATGTAACTTCCTAATTATACATAGTGTGCGCTGTCCTATACAAAGTATATAACTTCTTAATTATACATGTGTGCTGTCCTATACACACTATGTAACTTCCTAATTATACATAGTGTGTGCTGTCCTATACACACTATGTAACTTCCTAAGTATACATAGTTTGTGCTGTCCTATACACACTATGTAACTTCCTTATTATACATAGTGTGTGCTGTCCTATACAAAGTATATAACTTCTTAATAATACATAGTGTGTGCTGTCCTATACACAGTATGTAACGTCCTTATTATACATAGTGTGTGCTGTCCTATACACAGTATGTAACCTCCCAATTATACATAGTGTGTGCTGTCCTAAACACAGTATGTAACGTCCCAATTATACATAGTGTGTGCTGTCCTATACACACTATGTAACTTCCTAATTATACATAGTGTGTGCTGTCCTATACACACTATGTAACTTCCTAATTATACATAGTGTGTGCTGTCCTATACACAGTATGTAACCTCCCAATTATACAGAGTGTGTGCTGTCCTATACAAAGTATATAACTTCCCAATTATACATAATGTGTGCTGTCCTATACACACTATGTAACTTCCTAATTATACATAGTGTTTGCTGTCCTATACACACTATGTAACTTCCTAATTATACATAGTGTGTGCTGTCCTATACAAAGTATATAACTTCCCAATTATACATAGTGTGTGCTGTCCTATACAAAGTATGTAACCTCCCAATTATACATAGTGTGTGCTGTCCTATACAAAGTATATAACTTCTTAATTATACATAGTGTGTGCTGTCCTATACACAGTATGTAACTTCCTAATTATACATAGTGTATGCTGTCCTATACACAGTATATAACTTCTTTATTATACACAGTATGTATCTTCCTAATTATACATAGTATGTAACTTCAGTATGTAACTTCCTAATTATACATAGTGTATGCTGTCCTATACAGAGAATATACAGTATTTACCTCTGCACAGTATGCGTACTTTCATCTACAGTACGTACATTCTTACGCACAATATGTACAGTTAAATGTACAGTATGTACTGTCTTATGCACAATATGTAATGTGTAATCACCAGTGTGTGACGTACTGTGCAAATGTATGCACCGTGTTATACAGTTTGTACAGCGCTACAAACATCATGTACCATCTTATACACACTATGTATCGTCTAATCAACATTGTGGGAATTTATTCCATGGCATCTGATTGTGTAACCAAACATTTTTGTACTTGTTTCCATAGAAAGTCCTCCCAACCACTATACTACCCATATGAGATCGCTTGTACTATTATCATGTCAGTAACAATTGCGACCATTGCATTGACCATGTGGGCTTAAAACTTTGGAATATGAGTCCACATACTTTTACTAAAGTTGACGATTGGACTGGTGTTGAATAAATGCTGAATTCTTTTGTTATATGTGTATACTTAGAAGATTTCCTTATGTGTGACATTACCTTGTTTACAGGTTTTGTCTGTTAATAGGACTTGTACATTTAATTTGACTCTAGGTAATTAGTTTTGAGTTGTGCACTATCACCTTCAAAGTCAATTTCAAGATCATAAATTTGACATTTGACACCTCTTGAATTTTTTTTCTTCTGTGCAATATTTTCATACACGTGACCCAGTAAATCACTGAGGAACTGTTGTGCATGGCATATATGGATATCAGTATATTTTCAGTCAGCAAGAAGAGGCGTGTAGCAAGTACTGTGTTTTCTCCAGCCCCTCACATGTTAAAAAAACACGGAGACATGGACCTAGGTTTGTATAAGTTGTATAGCTGAACTCCATCATTTGTAATTCAGTCAGAAATATATGTATTTGTACATAAGGCCTAACATCGAGAAGTTATTTTACTGGTTAAACCTGAAAACCAACAATATTTAACACTGAATTTGTATTTGCTCTTTGATGCCAAATTAAAAAAAATAATTTCAGAGTGAAAAAAGAATTTATATGCAAGTACTGTGGCCGACACTTCAGCAAGTCTTACAATCTACTGATACACGAGCGCACTCACACAGACGAGCGGCCATACTCCTGTGACATCTGTGGCAAGGCTTTCAGGAGGCAGGATCACCTACGAGATCACAAGTAAGTTATCGTTCATAGCAGACGGATAGGATGAACTATCCTCGATCTCTTGATTGGTGGCTTGTGATTGCGTATCTGGACTAGCTGCTTCTGTTTGTTTTCTTTAGTGAAGTTATAGAGGCTATTTCATCCCCATCCGCCTATGAACTCATTCAGCAATAGCGACATCTCCACAAACCAATCATCTCACCTATCATGTGTTCTCTGGCTATCATATGGTTGCAAAATTAAATTTCTGTTTTTGTTAATTATAATCTCGATCTTTCATGTATATAAATTGTTGTTATTGTTACTACCAACGAAATTTAATTCTGTACCAGGCTCAGATTAGTCAGTCATTATTGTGAGTGATTGAGTTAAAATTTAACGTCAAATCGGCATTATTTCAGCCATATAGCGACGAGCTGACAACGGTATGTGGATCGATATCACTTAATAGCATATTTAAGAAGTCGTTGCATTACTGCCTAGAAGTCCATTCCCCTTACATGCATGGGCAACGCGTGACGCAACCTGTTTCAGAGGGAACAAACTTTTGACCGAAGAAGGACCCATATTAAGCTGAAATTGGAGGTATTAACAAGGAGAGCAATTTTTGATATCCTGATGAAAAATGTTAAAAGCCATTTTATGATTTGTACTTGCCGATGTCTCCTTTTAAGATGATAGATAGATCGTCTTTATTTCCTCCAAGAAATGAAGATACATTGATATCAGATATTATGGTATTCTAACAATGAACATATATATAACAGGGGATATATTGTGTGTACAGGCAGTTTCACATCTTATCATATAATATTTCTGACTTTAGACATTTTTACATCGATGCTCATGATTTCAATCACTGGATTGTCTGGTCCAGACTCGATTATTTACAGAAAGCTGTCATATAGCTGTAATATTGCTAAGTGCTGTGTTAAACAACAAACAAACCATACCAAAACATTTCAATAATTTTACATACAAGGAGCTTTATATTTGTCCATAAGTTGTATTGAATAGCCATAGTACTATCTGTTGCCAAGTAAAAAGGACGGAAAGGTATCGTCATCATCATTTCAGATGCTATAAAAAGTTGTCACATCTACTCGTAGTAAATCAATAATAGACTCAACAAGAATATTTCTTTGTTGTTGAGTCTTTTAACAATACATAAGTACATGTTTGATCATATCAAAAGCAAATGTGCCACATAAACATTCAACAGATTGTATACTGTAGGTGCTAAGACATAATAAATATGCTAAATCATAGAAGTGTTCCAGCCTTTCAATTGTTAGTAACCATAGTCTGTGTACCTTAGGAGATCATTTTAAGAAAGTATCATTTTAGTTTTTCTCTTGAATGAAACTCTGCATATATTATGTTACGGTCACATACGCTTATTTGTTCTTTAACTCGACTCGCCCATGCATGTTTGTTGGGGAAATGAGAAGAGTGGTATGGGTGTTAATATCATTATTGAGTTCATATTTGTTTACTAGAGATAGCATGTGGTATACGTGTGACATTTTACTTTCATCATCTTTTTCTTTAACTGTATGAGTTGATACTGAACAAGTCTGTGCTGTAATAGTCTTTTAAATGCAAAGTTAATGTCACTATTACATGGTCTTCCAAGGAATAAGAGAGCTCGTTGATCAATGTACGCCTTGAGAGAAGTTAAACCAAGACAATCTCTGGTGACGACGGAAGGAGTGCATCTAGACAATCCTTGAATCTTTTTACAAAAATAACGTTCAATAATTTCAAACATTTTGTATTCCTTTGTTGACAGTTTACACCATACACTACAAGCAAATAATCCACATGTAATATTACCCTTTCCCATATACCAACAGCTGGGATAGGGTTTAAACCACCAAAATATAGCCCATGATTATAATTTATATTGACTAACATTCTGAGTTTTTCACATATTAAATGGGTATGTTCTAAGGGTCTCTTTGATGTACTTAAAAGAAATACAGCATTAGTTACATTTTCCTTTTTATCCCCCCGGCATATAATGCGGGGGGATATAGCGATCAGCCAGTCTGTCTGTCCGTCCATCTGACCGTCTGTCCGTCTGTCCGTCCGTAATCATTTCCTTTTCCGGGGCAGAATTCCCAAACCATTCAGTGTATTTGATCGAAACTTGGCAAATCTATCAGGCACATACTGAAGTAGTGCCTTTTGATATTTTGGAATTTTACTTATTTTTATTTTTTAAAATTTTTATGGAATTAAGTTGGACATAGACTCAATTGGGGATGGGGTTCGTTTCCGGGGCAGAATTCGAAAATCATTCAGTGAATTGATCGAAACTTGGCAAATCTATCAGGCACATACTAAAGTGGTGCCTTTTGATATTTGGGGATTTTTCTAATTTTTATTTTTTTCAATTTTTATGGAATGAAGTTGGACATAGACTCAATTGGGTATGGGGTTCGTTTCCGGGGCAGAATACAAAAACCATTCAGAGTATTTGATCGAAACTTGGCAAAGCTATCAGGCACATACTGAAGTGGTGCCTTTTGATATTAATTTTTTTACGAATTTTTATTTTTTTACAATTTTTATGGAAAGAAGTTGGACCTAGACTCCATTGGGGAACGGGTTCGTTTCCGGGCCAGAATTCGAAAACAATTCAGTGGGTAAACAATGTATGCTTCTTAAAGAACATTCAACTGTTGACTCATTACATACAGAATTGCACATTTACTAGTGGTTACTTTACAGACAGCTGCCGGGGGGATATGTCATCTTTCTGATGACTCTTGTTAGGAAGTACTTGTGAACCAATGTAGACCCGTTGACAGACCGATTTGCAAATATTCCCAAACAGTAGAAATGCACTTTTACTGGCATTTTATTACAAATACCATCTCTTGGCATATGTGTATATATCAATCAGTAGACATTGCAGTCTGTCAGGGGAGCTGCTCAGCAACGTAGTATCGTCTGCTAATAGGATTCCGGGTGTATTACCCCATGGAAGACACAAGTCACGCCTGAATCATCAAGTGAATACAACAAGTCATTAATATAAAGAGTAAAAAGCCATACTGATAAAACGCAACCTTGACCAACACCTTGCTTAACATGAACACATTTGAGTTTAAACCCCCAATGCTTACACATAACTGCATTGAGGTACATATTGTACGTAAAAGTCGCCATAATTTTCCAGTTTGAAAAAAAAGACAATTAAGCCAGACTCTGTCAAAAGCTTTTTCGTCGAGAAAAGCGCAATGAACTGGAGACTGTCTTTTATTATAATTATCTGTGCTTTCTATTAATGTAAAAAGGGCAGTTTCTGCCCCAGCCCCTCTCCTAAATCCAAATTGAAAGGGGTGGGGGGAAACCTTTAACTTTGTTTGCCCACTCTTCAATTTTATTCAACAGGAGTCTTCCAAACAGTTTACTTAATACAGGAGTCTCGTCAAACTGAGCACATCTTAAAAAGTTTTCAGTGCCATATCGGTATATCAAAAAGTCTACGTCATTAGCTTTACGCCAGTTAAGATCTTCACTGCCATAGTGGCGTGGTGTTTATGGATCTCTATAGCTTATTAGCATATTAAAGAAGTTGTTAGCCATTTTATGATATGTCTCCTTTTTACATGTGATTTTGTAGGAAAATATGAGTACCGTACCATCTCATTTATATGACCATTGGCTACTACATGATCTTCTGCGATGGTGTAAAAAGAATATGTGATCCTGAAAAACATTAAACGTCTTTAGTATGACTTCCGGTGATTATATTTATTTGGTTTGGCGGAGCATTGTTTTATTGGACCCTAGTTACTTTATTATGATTGGGACTCTTTGTCTTAGCACGGTAGCCGTGACGCTGACAAAGAGCAGCATTTACTTAATGAGAAGAGGTCATATCATGGAAGATACGTTTCAGGGAGAGGGTGCTAGATAATGTTTTACCTGTGACAAGTTATGAAGGAAATCAGTACAAGCGTGTCCTGTTCACAGATATAGTCTTAATCTGTTAATAAGACGCCATGAATCCACAAACCACATTGGGTATCTAATAACATGTATATATAGTTTAATGAATATATTACTTTTCTTTCGCCTTTGTAGGATCGAATAATACAATAATAAGCACAGGTCGTGCGCACAACTTTATGCAACTGCTGTGCCCATTGCTGCTTGTTTTTTGTTTTTGTCGTTGTTGTTTTTTCTGCGCTATGGACCAATCCATTTGGAACCTGCATGCTTTCACCAGTGTTGTATTTGCCTTGTGTAGCCGGGTGGTGGTGCTAACTCTGAATGAGTTATAGCCACATAAGTACCACCCACTTATAACCCCCTAGTATTCATTCTATACATATATACATACATATATACATGTTCATCTATTATCACCATCACTTCATTCTGTGTTCATTATATGTTCATTATATGTTGTCCTTGTCTGCAGTTGAATGTCAGCCAACTAACACCAACCCTGATACCCTTTTGCAACCTCTGTAATTTCTCCAGCTTCACCTGGACTTCCCCCTATATATTTTTAGATTTGTCCACCACTTCATGTGACTGAAGCATCTTGACTTCCTTTTAATACCTGTCAGATGCTACCTTTCTTCTGATTGTCCCTTTGGTCCACTTCTTTAAACTTCCTTTCTCACCTGCCCTCCTCATGCATACTGCATGAACTCTTTATGGAGGGAGGTCTCTTCTTTACAGGTGAGAAACATTTCAATATTCTTATCTCTTTCCATCCTGCTTTGGAAACAAATATATTCATAGAAAGGGTACCACAGCTTTTCATTAAAGTAAAATATATTTAATTGCATTATTATTTAATTTGTTATATCTAAATATTTGCCAGCTCACACATTTTGTGTTACATTAATTGAGCACATGGTCTTCAACCATGTGCTTCAACCATGTGCTCCCAACATATCCTTATAAATTAATCTGTTTCCTTTTTGGCTTAAATTAAATTATAACAATTCTGCATGAACTCTTTATTGAGGGAGGACTCTTCTTTA